CTGGCACCCAAGCCCGGCCAACTGGCTTCGCCTGCCCCCCGATCCCGGACGCTGTCACGCCTGGAACCTCGCCGAAAGCCACGTGGATATTGAATCCCTTCTCGGCGAACGAGCGCACCATGGTGTGTAGATCTTCGCGTCCTACAAGAGCCTGTCCAGCCGCTGTGTCCACCAAGGCGCTGTCGAGCATGTTCTTGAGAGTAGGAAGGACCTGGGCGCTCTTGATGGTCTCGATCAGCCCCGTCCAATCCTCCACAGACCATGTCACCGTCTGCGTCTCGTTGCCCTCGAAGTTCAAGTAGTTCACGTACCCCTCGTCTGTGCCGTTCTCGAAGTAGAACGAGGTCTTAGCTCCACCAGAATCCTTCGACCGTTTCTCTTCAGCAAGCCTCTGTTCCTTCGTGCGGCGCGGCTTCTTACACGTCTCAGCCCAATGACCTTTTCCCCCGCAGTTGGCGCATCTCGACCTCTTTCTCAAGTCCGAGCCCGCGATGCGCTTGCATCCCGGCCTGTTCGCCCTGCGCTGGTCGAAGAAGTCCCGGTCGATCTTCTTGTTGGCCTTCATACGGCGCGCCTCCTGCCAAGTGCGCTTCCGATCCTTGCCCAGCTCATCCTCAATAACCGCTGCCAGCACCATCATCAGCTCGGACTCTTCGAGCCCCTGGTTCTCGAGGGCCGCGAGGAACGTCTCAGCTTCTTCCTCGGGCAGTTCGAATGAATCATCAGGTCCTTCAAAGTACGTGTCGATGTCAACGTACGGCTGAGGAGGAGGTGGCGGTTGTTCCATGTCCTGCTGAATCTCGGCTTGGTACGTCTTAGTCACATTCGAGCTCGCCGAGGTCGGTAGCATCGATTTGCCCCTGACATCGAGAAGCAACAACGCCTGCCTGATCGAAGTCGAGTCATTCTTGCCGGCCGCCAAGGTCTTCAGATTGATGCGGTTCTGGGGTGTGAGCTGAGCGCCCTCCTCCAAGAAGCGCGCTTTCACTTGGTCCGGAAGTGCCAATCCGAATCGTTCAGCTTCCGCAGTCTCCAGATCTCTGCGAAGCACAAAGTCCGTCAAAGTTTCTCCTCGCCGAATGCCGCGATGGAAAAGGGCGGCACAATGTGCCTCCCTCTCCTTGTCTCCTGGCCTCTCGCCGTTCAGAACCGAGAGGTGCCCTACCAGGTTATCCAGTCCCTTCTCGTCGTCGAGAGTAGGCCTGATGCTCACGAAGCGCTGCTGCACCTCGACGGGCAAATTCTCTAGCACCTTCCCGGCTCTCTGCTACTCTGGGTATCCAGTACGTGCAGCCCACGATTGGAGATTCATCTTGTACAGTCTCAAGCTTTCGAATCCCAACCAAGCTGGCGGCGCCCCATAGCCCCGAGACTGCAATCCCCACGACTGAGAGTTGGTCCTCCAGTCGTCTTCCCACGCATACCACGAGCCTCTGTCGCGCCACTTGTCATCACCGCGGTCCTGGTCGTTTCTCCACCACTGTCCCGACCAGGTCCCAGCTCGTCCAGCGCTCTCCCGAACGCTGGTTCGGGACACGATCGCCGTCTGTCTGTGTGCCGGTGGCACGCATGCCTTCCTCGTCTTCTCCTCCAATCACTGAGTACATGTCCCCTTCACCGCCCGGCCCCGAAGCCACGCTCCGCTTACCATTGTCATCACCCTGCGTTGACATGATGAGCGGTGGGACTTGGAGAGAGGAGGGATGGATTACATATCAGCGCGAAGAGAGATCAATTTCGGGCACTGAGCCTAAAAGGCTGGGCACAGCGAAAGCACGAAGCGGAGGGGAGGAGGCCGACCCGAGAGTCACGTGGGGAACCAAACTTAGATTGGGGGGACACTGGGACCATCAGGCCGGCTGCGTGCAGGGGGCTGGGACTGACCGTCGAGAATGAAGGATTTTGGTTTCCTGGAGGCTTTCTTGAAGCGTATTGGGAGCGTCTTGGGAGCGTGGCTGGGCCGTCTTGGAGCCATCTGAACTCTCTGGGGCTGGCTGCAGGCCATCTGAAGCCGTCTTGACGGACTCGAGGGTCGTCTCGCAGCCATGTTCGGCTGTTTCGGGGCCATCTTGAGGGATTTGGGGAGCCGCACTCGACCGTCTTGGGCCTCTCTGGTGCTCTTTTACGGCCATTAGTGGACCATCCTGAGGCCTCGGAAGCCTCTCGAGAGCGAAAAGGCGATACCTTCAAACCTGTGTCGGGTCCTCATATGGTTTGGGCCTACTGGGGGCCTCTTAGGGGCCTCTTAGGGCCTCCACGGGCCGTCTCGGGATCATCTTGGGCTGTTTGGGGCCGTCTGGCGGCTAGTTGGGGCTGTCCTGGCGGGCTCATGGACCGCAGCAGACCCATCTTGAAGGACATTGGGGGCCCCCGGCGCCCGTCTTGCGCCGCTTTGGGACTCTGAGTGAGACATTCGAGACCATCCTGAGGCTTGAGATTCCCCTCGGAGGCGAAAAAGAGGGTTCTTGAAACACCTACGCGTCCTTCTCGGAGGCGCGCGTCCGACCAGATGACATAGCTCAAACAGAGTGTATATCGGGGGCGGCCAAGAGGGGGGCATCCAAGAGGGGGGGTGCAAATCATGGCCGGCGGCACGTGCGCGGCCCAGGGGGTGGGCCAGGGATGTAATGAAATAAGACGAGGCGCCATGAGATCTGGGGAAATATCATGGCCAACGCCATGATATCCACCCCCCTAGTCATCACCCCCCTCTTTGCCGCCCCCGACTATAGATTGGTTTCCGAACGGGCGGGAACAAAAAACAGGATTGACTTTGCACATCGAAAAAAATCCCACGCGTGTCCGCGATAACGGCGCGGTCTACTTTTCGCAAGATACCCTCAACCTTACCGCCCCGAACTGAGCTCAGGCCTTCTGAAATAAGCCTTCCCCGAAGACACAGAACACTTCTCAGGCTGGAGGGCTTCCGAGAAGCACCGCCACCTTCTGAGAAGGCCTGTTCCTTCTCGCTTCCCCCCAGGTGCGCCGCCGACTCTGATGAGGAAAATCCTGGAGGCCTCGCACGGCAACGTGAGACACAACTTGTGTCGGATCCGCGTCGGATTTACGTCGAACTCCCGTCGGATCACGCCGGACTCAGGTCGGAGCATCGCCGCGCGGACGTCGTCCCATATCTGACGGGGCGTGGACGTGGACTAGAGAATACAACTATTTCGCGCCGCGCGAGGCCTGCAGGATTATCCTCCAATGAGACGTCAGCTCTGGTCTGCACCGCGGTGCCAAAGCAGCCCGTATGGCGGCGATATGCAGCTGGAAACTGCAGCCAGCCGTTCGCCTCAACACAAAAACCGCCACCCAATGTGAACATCACACGGTTTGAGTTTGCTTCTCCGCGACGGTATGACAACATGCTGTACAGACACTGAACGTAGTCGTCGCCAGAACAACTGTGAGGAATTTGTTGTTTTGTTTTCCTCTTCGCCGCAAACACACACCAGTTACAGCCCCTGCTCCGATTCAGCACGGCTAAACAAGGCACGTTCGGTTGTATTGAATGCGGTTCCCCTCAAGGGGGCTACATCGGCACCCATTGAAGCGCGCACGGACATTCAAAGGGTGACCTCGGAGCGAAATCCGGCGGCCGCTGTGGATGACCCTACAGTTTCCACGCCGATCCAGGGGTAGAGGGACAAGGAGGGAGGAGGAGGAGGACGACGAAGGGAGGAAAGGAAGGGGGACAAATTGGCAATGGCCCCGGGCTCGGGGTGACTCGCCTGCCAGAAAACTGCGGACTTGAAACTCCGCCCTGCCGCCGCCTCCTCAGAGAGACAATGCAAAATGGCGACACATACGAACTAACCAGTCGTGTGCTTGAGGTGACTGGCACACGCACTGGAAGGTCGAGAGACAGCGACAGCCCTCGAGTGACAAAGTTGTTGGGTGAGCACACTCGCCAACTGAGAATATAGTATGTGAAAGCGGGCACGGAATCGCCCGGCACACGCGACGCTGCTCTGCAGCGGCTGACTAAAGCGAGCCCTGGCTGATAATGCAGCCAGGGGTCGGCCAGGAGCGGCCACAAACACCACCGCGCGATGCCAATGCATCCGGCAGCATCGGAACTACCAATTCGGGGCGAGAAGGAGCAGGAAAAGAGGAGGCGGAGGAGGGAGGCAAAGGAGGAGGGAGGGGGAGGAGGGCGACTGCACGCTCAACTCGAGCGCTCGCGGCCTCCACAGCCGCCACGAGACCAAATTAGACCTACGGCGCTGATCAGAAGACGGCAGCTCGATCCGGAAGGGAAGGGACGAGGCGGGGAGGGAGGCCAGAGGACGGAGGAGGGAGGGGGAGGAGGGCGACTGCACGCTCAACTCGAGCGCTCGGGGCCTCCACAGCCGCCGCTAGACCACATCACACCTACGGCGCTGGACAGAAGACGGCAGCTCGATCCAGAAGGCAGGGGACGAGGCGAGGAGGAAGGAGAGAGGACGGAGGACGGAGGGGGGGGAGGGCGAATGCACGCTCAACTCGAGAGCGCTCGGGGCCTCCACAGCCGCTTACGCTGAGCGTTCCGGCCTCCATGCCTCGCGCCAGCCGACGGGGGCGCGCTACCCGCGTAGGCTTCCTTGCCTCCAGCTGGCCAGCATCCACTCCGCGGACCCAAGCCGCAACCGCAGGGCAGGTTGAAATTGATGGCGGCCAACCAGGGGGGAGCTGCGCGCTCTCGTCGAGCGCCGTGGGCCCTCCGCGGCCGAGAACTGTTCAGCTGACCTGGGCCGATGCACAAGCGCCGCTCCGAAAAGATGGGGAGGAGGCGGAAGAAAGGAGCATCGCGAGCCAGCCCCGAAATAAATCGACGGGCAAGCATGCCCCAGTTAGGGCGACACGCCGGCGTCCACCCTCGGGGGTCGAGAAAACTCGGGCGCAATTTCGGCTCTGGCCGAGTCCAGGGCAGACGCCCTCCCACGAGTCGCCATCGGCCACACGACCGGGACAGCTGCGAGCCTGCCGGCCCCGACTGACAGAGTGGCACCCCGCGCTCAATTCCAGCCGCGCGCAGCATCGTATATGCGCGCCGCGGCGCCGCGGCCCCGCACCGCATCCCGGAATGATTGCCCCAGCGCTTCCCGAGCAGCAGGGCCCCTGCTGACCCGGCCATGGCGGCAGAGGCAGTGGGTGCGGTATGCCGCCGCGGCGTGGATCGACACTTTGACCGCTTTCTCTGGGCCATGGCCCGCGCGGTAGTCGAGCCCCAGAAACGCCGCCAGCCGGTCGCCTGGAGACTCTGGGCGAGGGAGGCGTAGCACGGCGTCAGCAGCCTCGTGGAGCACCGGCCAGTTCGCGTAGTGCTCGATGGAATCGGCCGCAGCTGGTGAACAACGGAACATGCAGCCAGCTAGGCCGATGCGGCCATGCGTGCGCCGGCTCGACGCCCATCCGTCCCACAGCGTCCGCCACGTCGCAGCCCAGACGCGCGGCGGAAACCGCCTCCGCAGGGCCTGCAAGAAAGCCAAGCAGTTGGCTACTCGGACTCGAGGGAGTCGAGGGACCGCCCAGCGGCCCAGCTTGTGTCGGAGCCGCATCTCCAGGTTGAGGGTCGTGGCCCGTGGCAGCGACGCAGCCGCTGTTCGCTGAAATGCTACCTGGACGCGGCGGGCCTGCTCTCTGGTCATAGGTCGGCGTAGCAGAGTCGCGTCGTCGACGCGCAGGATCTCGCGCTCCAGCGTCGCCCGGGCCACCCCCAGCGCCTCAACGTGTTCGGCGCTGCTGTCCAATTGAAATGTGAAACTACGTGCGAACCAGTCGGCCCAAGTTGCTTGCAGCAAAATGTGATCCGATGCCTGCTTTGCCTGGCGGAACACGGCAGCCCTCCCCCGGATCCGCATGCCCCCAGAGCTGGCCGCTCCCATATAGTAGACCCGCGCCTGGGCTGCCAGCTGGCGAGTGGGCATGTCGACGAAAGACTTCGGAAAACCCAACAAGTCGATGTGCTTGAGGTCGCGAGGGCAGGACCACTGGCCCTCTGTGACTGACGCCACCTCAGCCGCCGAGTGCAAGTACAGGCGTACCCGCCCTGGGGCGAGGCTGGGATCATCATCCGCCAGGCGCCTCCATGTACCAGGCGTTAGCTCTGCAGCGGTGTCCGCCGGGGCCAGCGCCAGGCCAGACTGAGCCCGCATCACTGCCAAGAGGGCGGCGATGACGGCGTGGGGGTCGTACCCCATCCCTCGACGAGCAGCTCTGCCGAAGTGTGTGCGGTAGGATTCGGCGCTGCCCTCGCCGCGGCTGGGCGCCGCGCAGCCCGGAGTCGAGACGGAGTGGCTGACGGCGTTGCCCACGCTCGCCCTCCTGAACGGGAAGGCCGCCAACGGAGCTTCGACACAGCGGCGTCCTCATCGTCCTTCCAGAGGTCCTCCACTGCGTCCTGCCAGACGTCCTGCTGGACTGAAGTGTGGATCGTAGCCAGCCGCGGCGCCAGAGCGCCTCGTCGCAAAGGTGGGACACACGGGACAAACCGGCCGGCCCCGTGAGCTCCACGAGCAAGGCGGAGTTATCGCTGTAGATGGACCGGGTGGCGAGGAGCACCGTGCTGTCCAGGCGCCTGCTGCGAAGATCGCAGAGGAGCAACGCCACCCCGATCTCTGTGGTCCCTTGCAATGGCAAGAGAAACTCAACTCTAGATCTGGGCGCGTCTGCGGCCGATCCTGGGCTGCGCGAGTGCTGCCCCAGCTTGACTCCCATGGTGGAGCCGGCGGCCAGGACCTGGTGGATGACCTCTGGCAAGAGCAGCGAGGGGCAATCCGCGAAGAAGGACGGCCCCTGCGATACCGTTAACACCGGCTCAGCCACGGAGAGTACCCTGGGGAGTTGCAGCGGCGCGTGCGTCGACACCGTCACGATGTAGAGGCCCCAGGACGTATGTAGTGGGCCTCCGGCTGCAGAGAGGACCATCTGCATCGGCTGGGCCACGAAAGCCTGTTCGCGCACCACGGGGGCCCACTTTTCGCTCATGAACGGGTGCCAGAACAAGTCTCGGATCGCGCCGCAGGTAATGCAACCTGGGAGCACCGCCATAGGCACTATCAAGCGGAGAGGGTGGCCCGCAAAGGCGGCCGCGGGCGTCTTCAGAACGGTCGCCAGCAGCCGGCCCAAGGCTGCCGGCGAAGACGGCGCCCATGCCACCAGCCCTCCTCTGGGGAGCTGATCGAAGAACGATGCGCCCTTGTCCAAGCGCTCCTGCCACCTGCGGGCCTCAGGAACTGGCATGAGCCGTGGATGCTCCGCCAGATTCTCGGGGAGGTCCGACACCGTGGAGAGCTGGGTGGCGACCATCTCGTTCTCGGAGGCGGGCGTGTTGACCAAGAAAGTGAGGCCAGGCTCTGCAAGTTCACGCCAGCGGTCGGTCCCGGTGCCTTTGTCCCGACGGCGGCGCGTGAGCACCCCGGGCAACAACTCGTGGCAGTGTCGATGAGCAGCTTCGAGACAATCCCAAGCCTCCTTGGCCGCCTTCTTCTCGTCCTGCTGCCAGCCGGGCGACCTCGAGAAGGACAGCAAGGCCCTGGCGCGGTGCCAGCGGCGGTCGATGTCCACCTCGGAAGGGGCGGGCCCTTCCATCGTGAGGAGCCCCAGGCAGTCCCACGGGGACGCGGCGTCCAGGTGGTAGTCCAGAAGCTGCAGCAGCGAGTGCACGTCAGCCCACCCGCCAGGGGCGCCGCTTGTCCAGGCCTGGAGCTGGCTGCGACTGGTGGCCCGGCGTGCAGCTGTCATGTAGAAGTTGGCCAAGAGCTCGTCCTCCAGGAACGAGTGCAACGCCGAGATGTCGATGCCAGCGCTGCCGCCGCCTGCGGATGGCAGCGCGGCGGGTGGGGCGACAGCTACGGCAGCGATGCCGGCGGAGTGCTCCCCGGTAGCATCCTGGTCCATATCCATGGCTCCTAGGACCTGCGTCAACCCTGTGATGTTGTCGTCAACGTTTGGCGTCACTGCACCAGCGCCAGCAGCATCAGCGCCAGCAGCATCGGCGCCGGCACCGGCAGCAAGAGCGTCAGGCGCCTGGGCCGCCAGCCCGGGCGGGGCAGCCGGCGGGGCTGGCCGGCGCGGCACCAGGGGGGGGCCGCTGCGTCGGCGGCGGCCGCAGCATGCGCGGCGCAGAGGTCAGCCCCGGGTTGCGCTGGGGCGTCCACGCCGCCAGCGAGGCACATGGCGCAGCGCCTGGCCATGGCGAGGGAACAACTGTGAGGAAAACATGCCGCCACGATTCGACATATAAGCCCGTGACTGGCGAAGCCCACGTGCATCAAACGCCATAGGATCTGCAAAGGGGAAGAGAGAGGAAGGGGAATGCAGAAATGCGCAAAAGAGAAACGATAATAAAGGCGAATATGAGAAGAGGGAGAGGGAAGGAAGGGAGGCTGGGCGAAATGGGAGGAGGCAAGAAGCGGAGAGAGACAAGGGGCTGGAGACGAGAATGGGAAGAGGTGAACCTGCTGTACCCGTACACACTGAAGCTTCCACTCAACTTCGAGAGGACCACCCCCCTGAACATCTAGAACGCTTCCGATCGTTGGTGCAATCCTGTTACTCTTCCAAAAGGGCACGCCCTCTTGGACAGAGAGGCTGACGCAGAAAAGGCAGGCATTAATCACGGGCAGCTTGGAGTCGGGTAGTGCCCACGGCATCAGGTCCCCTCCTCCTCCTCCTCCTCCTCCTCCTCCTACTCCTCCTCCTCCTCCTGCTCCTCCTCCTCCTCCCCTTCCTCCTCCTCCTCCTCCTCCTCCTCCTCCTCCTCCTCCTCCTCCTCCTCCTCCTCATCCTCCTGTGCCCCTTTCGGGGCTCACACCCTCTTTTAACAATGGAATTCTTGGGTCTCCAAACTGCGTCGTTGGCTGCCAGTTTGTAACAACAGCAACACCAGCAACAACAGCAACGGCAACACCGACACCAATCACATCATCAACACAACAACAAAAATGAAAGTAATTTCAAGACTGTTCCTTCTCACCTGCTCGCGTGCCTTTCAACACGTATATTCCAAACCCTCCTCCTCCTCCTCCTCCTCCTCCTCCTCCTCCTCCTCCTCCTCCTCTCCCTCATACCTCCACAAACTCCTCCTCCTGCAAATCCTCCTCATCCTCCTCCTCCGTGCTCATCCTCCTCCTCCATCTACCTCCAACCCTCCCTCTTCCGAACAAGCCTCGTACTGTTCATCCAAATGCTCCCCCGCATCATCTATCCACCTCATCCTCATCCTCATCTTCCGCTTCCTGCCCCAACCTCTTTCAGAAGAGTGCCGCTACTCCTTGCTGTCAGTAGCCGCCCCAGAAGCCGCCTCGCAACTGCAGACAGTCAGGAGGACCAGCAAACCGGCAGGGATGAGCCAGAGAGGAGTCGAAAGTAGGATTTGGAGGGCAAGCAGAAGCATCTCAGGGAAACACTCGCTTGGTTCCAATGTTTGTAAGCTCTCAGAATATTGGGAACCAAGTCCGAATATTGAGACCCAAGCAGTGTACATTTAAGGGGGTGCAAATGTTCACTCAACTGGTTCCCACTAGTCTGATAGCGCAAAAGTAATGGGAACCATGCTGGTGACACACACACACACCCATTTGGGCGCCCCCGTGGCTTTTCTTGCCCCCTTCCGTGGTCCCCGTCCGGCCCCCCGAATAGTGGGAGCCAAGCGGGTGAATATTGGACCCGCTTAAATGTGCACCCGTTTGGTTCCCGAAACTCGACAGGCCCATGGCAAAGCCCTGGACCTCTCGAGTCTCGGAAACCAAGCGGGTGAACATTTGGACTGACCCTGGGCCTCCCGAATATCGGGATCCATGCAGGTAAACATTAGAGAACCTCTTGAAATGATGCGCTTGGTTCCCAAAACTCCCGATACCTGCGAGGCCCACGGCTTGGCCATGGACTCTCGAGTCTCGGAAACCAGGCGGGTGAACATTTGGACTCGCCCTGGGCCTCCCAGGGCATTTTCGGCAGGCTCGGGGCCAAGGGCTTCCCGAATATTGGGAACCAAACGGGTGAACATCTGGACACCTTCAAATGTGCACCTGGCTGGTTCACAACATACGGGGTTGTGGGTGACCGCCCGCTTGGTTTTCAATACTCGCACATCCCAGGTGACGAATTATTGGATCCAAGCTGGTTCCCATGACTCGTTCCCTTGGATGCGCAAGCATTGCGAACCAACTCATCCCTCATGTACCACCCGCCACCTGCCGTTGCCGTGCCCATCCTGCGGCATGGAACGCCAGCGTTGACTGACGAAGCAACCTCGTCACTGGTCGCACCAGGCGGCGTGCAAGCAAAACGACGATCACAACATGTCGAAAGCACAATTCCTGTCGCAGGTTCAAATTCGGAAACTGTTCATATTGTACGTCGACCACAAAGAGTCCATACGGGCGCTGAGCTGCATCAGATTCATCGTTCTGGCCCAGATCGTCGACACCGACATGTGCCTCGATTATCCCTGTTGCTTTCGATACTCACACGAACAGAAAACGCACGATACTAAAACCATACAATACAATTTGACGCGCCTGGCAGAATACCTTCATGTGATACGTGACGACATGCGACGACTGTCGGTAACTGTCGCGAAACCTCTTGAATCGGCGAACAGACAGGGTAACTGCGCTGGCGGATGGCTACCTAAACGGGGGTACCGTTGTAGCGAATTTCGCCACCATGCCAGGGGGGAAAAGCAGACGAAGCAGCCGAAAAAGGGGGAAGGTGCGCTTCCGCCCAAAGGAACGAGTCACGCCCCCAGCGTGCGGCGCGCCCGGCCCCGCCGGCAGGCCCGCGGCGACAGCTGCACCAACGGGCCAACGGCGGCGGGAACTTCCGTGAAACACGATACGCATCAACATACGAAACGCCAACCCTTGTGGGGCGCAAGGCCGTGAACTGACCTGGTTGACTGGTGTTTTGTTGCACGCGCTCAATGTTTCTGCCTTGAGTGAAAGGCACAGGTCTGGGGTTTGTCGACGAGGCAGCAAGCTGAGACCCCTACGCTTAGGATACCATCGGAGACGTACCGAAGTACCCCACAGCTGGTCACTTCATGGCAAGCAAGATGATAAGTAAGAGACACGACATGGGATAGAGAAGTGGATCATCGGTGGATGTGGCCTTTATCCGACGCTCAGATCCAATAGTGCCTCGCTGTCGTGAAAAACGCAAATGGGGTAGCGCTACTTTGAGCCGTGGCAGCGACGGATACAGCGCTCGCTATACACCCCCCCTGTAACTCAAGCCGAAGTCGGGGGGCGGACCGAACGCTAGATCCTGACCCCAAAACAAATTATATGAATTAAGGAAGACAGGAAGAGGAGGAAGGAAGGTTGTTTTTCAACATCCTGAACAACACGCAGTCCAGGCAAGGAAGAACAGCGCAGCGTATTAGCGCTGGTCGTGGGAAAACCCCCACGGCCAGCCACATATCACCATGGTCAGCCATGGGCAAGACCAGATGACTGACCATGCATAACAATGCAAAATTACGGGCGGATCCACGTGATTACCCGGAGATTATTCTGAATGCAAGACGTCAGAGCGCGCGAAGCTCTGCAGAGCAAAGAGGGATAGCCAATACTATCACAAGGTACTCAAACAAAACCGCGCCCGGGCACGCGGGCATAACTGGCCCGCATCCCAACTTGGATTGGCCATGGAAAAAACCAATCATACATCGTGTCCGCTGGCCCTGACTCGGACGCCCCTGAGTTGATGCTGTACTTGTGTTGCCTCGGTGGGTACGCACTTATTTACCTCGTATTTGAAGGACTGACTACCTTCCATGACGTGCAATGGAAGCTCACGACCAACACATCCCTTAGTGCGACTGCAGGCTGTCATATCACGTGCATCACACCACCGCACGCTATGAACAACGCCTCAATCATCACTTGCCTCATACAGCTGATACGTCCAAGCAGGGTACATTCGCTTGGCCGACAAGTCCTTACATGCTAAGGATTTGAAGACGAAGTCAGCATCTATGGCAAGGATGGCCCTGAGCTGAAGCCACCGAACTCAAGAATGTCATGAAGCTGCGTTGGCGTCAGGGGCCCAGCATTGAGCTCGCGCAGCGTCACCACGGTGGGATAGCCGTCTTCAAGATTAGGAGCTGCCGCCAGCGTTTCAGCTGAGTAGCTGCAACGAACCTGCAAGCGGCGCGCTTGCAATGTGCATCGACCACTTGCACTACTAGCTTGCCATTAGGCGCGTGTCCGCGCAATAAGAGGCCGGCCCCTCGGGCACCATACCCCTTCACTTCGTCGCCTTCACCGCCGTTGAGGCGACGGAAGCCAGAAGTCGCCGTGGAAGTCCACTTCTCCTGTCGGACCCATGAATTGGTGAATGATGTTCTTCGGACCAAATTGCAGTTCTCGCGTCACGGCGTTAAGTCTTCGCACCTAGAACTCAGTGGGCCCCCGTCCACGTTGACAAGAAATCACGTGCACCATCGACCACACCTGCGCGATTAACGCATGTACAAACGCGCCACGTACACAAAGGAACATATCGGACACAGTTATCGTCGCCTTTGCTTCCGCTATAACGCCCGTAATTTCTGGGCGCTGCATAGGACGAAGTTGCTCGATGCATCATTATGATCTAGCTGGGCGCGGCCGCCCCCGGTCTCACTGAAGCGCGCGGCGCAATTAGAAGAACGGTGTTTGCTCAGTTTACATGCGCCGAACGCACTCTCTACACACGCACACATGTGACGCACTTGACTATAGCATCCTCAACTCCTGCCACGTTTATGTCGTCAACGTCCTGGGCTGTCCGGAGGTTCCGGGCGTCGAGTTCTTCGTCATACGAGGTGCGTTCTAGCCCGAAGCCTTGCGCGATGGACCTGCACATCACTGAGAGCGCCCTAGGGGAATCTTCGGCGCTGGCGCCTTGCTACAGGCACTCCAAACAGTGCTTTGATTCACCATGGCCATGAGACGCAAAGCCAGGAAACGCGCGCAGCACCGAGGCTGAGCCAGGCGGAAGAGCAAAGCAGACCATGCGCTCTGTCTCCCCAAGGGCCTCTGCCAGCCAACGGTAAGTCAGGCCCTCCAAGTAACCCTTGTCAATGTCCATGGATGCCATGATCCACGTTTTCTTGCACGCGGCCGCGCAAGCGAGCAATCGCTGACTTCCTCGACGAGCTGCGCCTGAAAAGGTTTCCCCATCGAAGGCTTCGACGCCCGTGAAACCGCGAAGAACAAGACGAAGTCGCATGGTCCGCCCCGTTTCGCCCATCTCGAACTTCACAAACTTCCACTTGTACGCATATCTGGATGTCATGATGCTTGTAGCGTTTCTGCTTTCCTGCATCAGAAAAACACTTGTTGTCACATCATATGTTGAGTTCTGCGTCCAGAACTTTAGATATCTTGGCCGATGTGGCCTGTGCTTCTGCCTTCGCCAGGTGATCGTCTTCCTCGGCGACCATAGCTCTTTTGGCTGCGGCTAGGAGATATGCACGCATCGTAGTTATCTGGCCGTTGCATCGTGCTTCGCGTCGTCGCTCTGTCAGACCAACTTTAGCCATGTCAGTAGAACAGCATAGCTCAACATATTGAAAGTATTCATCCGCATCCAGACCATGGGTTTCGTCGTATTCCGTGGCCCGAGACACCGGGAAGGTTTCGTCCGCGTCGCAGTTACGAGCACATACAAACTCTCACGAGTATCCTTGCTCCTCACTGGTCACGGTCACGAGCACATGGTTGCCTATATCTGAGTGGGTAGGAGTCTCTTCCTCTTGGAATTTACTTGGACTTCACTGTACCACGTTTCAGTGACATGCACTTCCAAGTTCGTTTCCGACTCCCCCTTCGAGCCTGCCGTCGAGGGCGGCTAGTCTAGAGGTCGTTCTCCGTCTTGGGCGCTGCCGCCCGAGGCTGGCGCGTCCGCCAGATCTTCGGCTTAACAATCTTGATCGGAGCCTATTAAGCATTTTGAAGACTTAAGACACTGGATTATTCGTGCATGTGCGGTCCCAGTAACGTCCTGAATATTGAGGGATGTGCCGTCGGAATCGCAACAGGGGAATCCTGGCGCAACGTCGTTCTTACAGTACACCAGGGTGCAGCTATCAGCGCATGGTGCCGCAGGTAAACTGCGGATAATCTTAGGCAAACGCACCCGTACTACATGTTCTATCCGCTGCTTAGGAATTGGAAGGAAAAGTGCACCGTAGGTCAGAGACAATTCGCTGTTGTCATCCGCAAGTTCCATTGCTCGGCAACAGGTGCCCCCGCAGGTAAGCTCGCGATCAAGGCCAACACTGCGCGCCTGGCCGCAGTATCAGAGCCGATC